GCAGTCAGCACAGAGCCCGACGCGGGGCTCGAACCCACGAACCGCGAGATCATGACCCAACCGAAAGTCGGACGCTTAACCGACTAAGCCACCCAGGCGCCCCAATCCAATTCCTCTTCTGGTCTGCACATTGCATGATATCTAAAGAGGTAGTTATCTAGTTCTTAAATACCTCCAGGAAAAATGATTCCACCTAATACACAAATGTTTACACCAAATTAAGAGAATGCAATGGACATTTTATTTTTAAAATGTTATCTCCATTGGGGTGCCTGAGTGGCTCAGTAAGTTGAGCATCTGCCTCTTGATTTCCACTCAGGTCATGATCTCACGGTCGTGAGGTCAGGCTCCAGCCTGGGCATGCAGCCTGCTTGGGTTTCTCTCTCTCCCTCTCCTTCTGCCTCTCCCCTGCTCGCTAACTCTCTCTCTCTTAGAAAAACAAAAGTTATCTTCATTGTAAAAACTAAATGAGTAACAATAAGTGAGAGTGTGTGGAGAGTTTTATAGTTGTCTAGTGCTTTATGGGCGCCTGGCTGGCTCAGTTGGTTGAGCGATCAACTCTTGATTTCAGCTCAGATCATAATCCCAAGGCTGTGAAATCGACCCCCACATTGGGCTCTGAATTGAGCACTGGAGCCTGCTTAAGATTCTCTCTCTCTCTCTCTCTCTCTCTCTCTCTCTCTCTCCCCCTCCACTTCTGCCTCCCTCCCTCACTCACATACTCTCTCTCTCAAATAAAAAGAAAAGAAAAAAACTTTAAAGTATTCAAAGGACTCTCATCATCTCATTTAATCTATACAAATAATCTCATGAAGTAGGTAGGACATGAAGCTATCTGGGTTCATGTACCAGAAAGAAAATGTTTATCCCAAAACTAAGAAATGGAAAAATTGTGCATTTTACATCTTTACAGTTGGAGAAAAATCATTGGCAATGAGCCATTTAAAATTAACTTGTTTGGGGGCGCCTGGGTGGTTCAGTCGGTTAAATGTCCAACTTTGGCTCAGGTCACAATCTCGCAGTTCATGGGTTTGAGCCCTGCGTCCAGCTCTGTGCTGACAGCTCAGAGCCTGGAGCCTGCTTCAGATTCTGTGTCTTCCTCTCTCTCTCCCTCTCCCCTGCTCATGCTCTGTCTCTCAAAAATGAATAAACATTAAAAAAATTTTTTTAATAAAAAAACAAAATAAAATTAACTTGTTTGGTGTTCTGCTTCTGGTCACTGTTTGACTCCATTTCATGCTTTCATATTAATTAGCCGGATGGAACACTACAGTCAGAGGATGGAAATCTGTTATTTCAATGTGTATTCTTACTATGTGCATTCTTACCATGTACTTCCAAAATGCATGATTTTTCTTTTTGTAGTAGCCTCTGCACCAAGCACCTCCGACCATCTCTCCACAGACTTCTTTGTAATCAGTGCTGTGGATATGATGTTTTGATGACATTGTAAAATGAAAACCCTATTTTGTTAAAAAACTAAACAAAGCAAACTCAACCAGCTGTTTATGGAAGCATTTTGCTTCCTAACCCTAGAACACCTCTGTTTCCATATAGGCTCTATACTGGCAAAAAAAGCAGAAACAAAAAGTCACTTTGCTACTTTCCTTGCTAGCAGGGTAATACAATTTGGCACATGTTCAAGAAAAAGTTGTCCAGGGAACTTCGTTTCTGCTAATCATTTTCAAGGCTGTGATATTTTACTTTGCTTTTTAAAAGTTACATTGTAGGTGCTGTTATTACATTATAGGGGTTATTCTAACAGGGCTGGTTATGCAGCACCACGAGATAAGGGAAAAGTTTTGTGCTAAAATGTGAATCTCCAAACAGAGAGAGCTTAATGTGAGAAAAAATACTTCTTATTGATCAAGCAGGTGCTTTTTTAAAAGGGCTTGAAAGTATAGGACTTCTGAAAGAAAGGCACAAGCTTTGGAAGGGCCAGAACTCCAACTTGTACAGCAGAAAGTATTTCATTAAAAGTGATTTTACATTAAAAGAAGTGTGCAAATTCTCTGACATCATTTCAAGTTCTATTGCCCTAGGAAAGAGCCCACATTTGAAGGCGGGTTCAAGGCGTGCCAGAACAGTCTCCTCCCTCCCTCCACCTTCTTCCTCCTTTCTCCCTATCACTTGGTCTCCTCCTCCCTCAGACAGCTATAGAACGGACGACCAGATAGCTCTGTTTTCCAATGCTTTCTGCATTCCTGGCTGCCAGCTTCAGCTGCTAAAGGGGCTGTTGCCACCTTCTGCCGACTACACAGCTCAGGAAAAGAAAGGGACCTCAAAGCTTCCAGATCCCTTCCTCTCATACAAAACTATCAAGCACAGGTAAGAAATACCATTCCTTTTTATTTAGAAATGAGACATGGTTTTAGAAGTAAATAAACTAGAAAAGCAACTGAAAGGAATTTAGGTCCTCTGACATCACTATGATGAGCAGTCTGTAACATAGGGAACACAGCAAAGTTAGAGTGGGAACTTTCTCTTTTAACCAATGTTGGAGAGTATCACTTTTGAGCAAACGTTCTCAAACTTTTTGGTCCTGTGACCTCTTTC